GCTCCGAGATATTCGGACGCGGATTTGTGTCCCTCACTTGCTCGCTTTTTCCTGATTTGCGTAGGGTATGACCTCCCATGGGTCAAATCCTACTGTATGGGAAGGGTGGCAGATGGAATGAGAAGTAATATGATATGAAATTGAGTATGAAATTGAGCGAGATGAAAGGGAGTTGAAGGCTGACCAACTCAAATCCGGACCCACTTACTAGTTAGTGGCAGACTGTCGTGTAGAGCTCCCAACTTCCAATTGCCCTTGGTTGGTTGTTGGTATACAAGCGGGCCATTAGTGACTATATGGTGAATATCTATAGAAGCTATTGGCTTGCGACCGGGTGCTCCATTCAATCTCAGGAGAAACCGGGACAAGGGACCCTGGGCTCCGAGGCCCTTTCAAGCCTCGGGCTCAAGGTGCTGCAGCAATGCGGCACCTTGGGCTCGAGGACTTGAAAGGGGGGAGGAGAGAGGGGAGAGGGGGAGAAGGGAGGGAGGGAGGGAGGGGGGAAAAGGAGGAGGCAGCAACGGAGATTTTTCGATTTTTATTTTCCTTGACTCTTTTTTATTTATCTTGTTTTGGCTTTGAAGGATGAAGACAATTTAGAATCAGACAGGAATGACAAGTGCTAGTAATGTAAGTAATCACGAGCAGTAGTTCAGGGTAGGTCTTGGTGAGATAGATCTGCACAGAGTGAAATACCGTGCTTTCTCCAGTAATGCTGGAAAGCACTCACTGTAGCACCGTCTAGCAATAGCTAGTAACGACTAGTAATGTCTGACAGTACCGGAGCAGCTAGCAGTTCAGGGTGGGGTCTTGAAAGACATGGCCCATGCCTGTGTCTGTTTTGGGTTCAGGGCAGGTCATGGTCACAGTTGAATAGACCGTAGTAATGACTAGTAACGACTGTCAATGCCTGACAGTACCAGAGTTGGATAGATCCTGAATATATATAGTGAAATACCGTGCTACCTCTGGTAATGGCTAGTAATGGCTCTAATGCCTTACAATACCCCCCTGTGTCCGTGTCTGACCCCCGATGAGCATCCTTGAGCGTGTCTGGGCAGGTGCATCACATTTAGTTACCCATATGCGTTCTTTTCCAACTGGATCGGTTTTGCGTATCATGCATGGACCCATCCACACCAAGTAATGTTGGAGTAGGGGGACTCAAAACTCCTTTGCGTCGAGCACAGAATCACTTTTGCGAATGGCTATCAAAATCCTGCTGTTCCTAAGTAATGTGGACCTTGTGTGTGCCAGTACACAGATTCTCCATCTCCATGCACCACTTTCAGTAGTAGCCCAGCCCAGTGTCTCAACACGATACTCGAAAACCAATATGTCAATGGTGGGGTATCCCTTCCTTGAAACACCGTGGCACCCTTCTAGCAATGGCTAGTAAGGCCTGGTCACACCGTTGCACCTTCTAGTAATGGCTAGTAATGACCAGTGATGGCTGATTACACCGCACCGCACGACTAAACTAGTATGTCACAAAAGTTATCCATGTCTTGAAAACATCATTGCACTCTCTAGTAATGGCTAATGAGGCCTGATAATACTGTAGCACCCTCTAGTAATGCCTAGTAATGCCTAGTAACGCACGAAACCAGCCAGGATCGAACTCAGGTTGGGAAACCCTAACCCAATCAAAGTCCGAAATATTCGGACGCGAATTTGTGTCCCTCACTTGCTCGCTTTTTCCTGATTTGCGTAGGGTATGACCTCCCATGGGCCAAATCCTATTATATGAAGGGAAAGGTGAAAGTGCATATTGAATGCGCGTGTAATCTAGTACTGTTCATTATGGATAAGACCAGTTTTCAATTGGTTGAATTCCTAGTAGGAGGTGAAAGCAGACCTGACCACCGCTGCGGCAACGGATGGGTTAGTCTAGTAACCTTCTATGATTTGAATGCGATACAAGCTGAATCTTGACCGAGCTATTGATGTGCCTGACTATCAGGATGTACTGGCTTGGGATGGTTATAAGCTTAGGCCTATATTGAGCGCACTGCGCTCAACGCCTAGACTCGTCAGATAGTCTGTTGATTGTCTGCAATGTTGAAGCGATGTGGATTACTTGCCGATGGCCAAACCTGAAAGCAACTAACCATTTGAGAATCCGCTGCGACTGTGTGCTTTATTGCGCTGGTTGTTAGTAGTTCTCTCCAAGGACCG